TTAAAAAAAATATAATAATCCACCATGACCAAGTGGGCTTTATCCCAGGGATACAAGGATGGTTCGACATATGTAAATCAATAAATGTGATTCACATAAACAGAAGCAAAAACAAAGGCCCTATGATCATCTCAATAGATGCAGAAAAACCATTCGACAAAATTCAGCACTTTTTCATGATAAAAACCCTCAACAAAGTTGGCATAGAAAGACCATATCTCAAAATTATAAAAGCTATATATGACAAACCCACAGCCAACATCATACTGAATGGGGAAAAGTTGAAAGCATTCCCACTAAGAACTGGAACAAGACAATGGTGTCCACTGTCACCACTTCAACATAGTACTGCAAGTCGTAGCCAGAGAAATCAGTCAAGAGAAAGAAATAAAGGGTATCCAAATTGGGAAAGAAGAGGTCAAACTATTGCTTTTTGCTGATGATATGATCTTTTTTCTAGAAAACCCCAAATACTCCAGCAAGAAACTCCTGGAATTGATAAATTCAGCAAGGTCTCAGGTGACAAAATCAATGTACACAAATCAGTAGCATTCCTACATACCAGTAACAGTCAAGCTGAGAGTCAAATTAAACAGTACCATTCACGATAGCTACAAAGAAAATAAAATACCAAGGAATATATTGAATCAAGGAGGTAAAAGATCTCTACAAAGAGAACTACGAAACAATGAGGAAAGAAATCACAAATGACACAAGCAAATGGAAAAACATGTCATGCTCATGGATCAGTAGAATCAACACTGTTAAAATGTCCATACTATCCAAAGTGATTTACAGATTCAATGTAATTCCCATCAAAATACCAATGTCATATTTCACAGATCTAGAAAAAATAATGCTACACTTCGTTTGGAACCAGAAAAGAGTCCGAATAACCAAAGCAATCTTAAGCAAAAAGAACAAATCTGGAGGCATCACATTACCAGACTTCAAACTATACTACAAGGCTACAGTAACCAAAACACTATGGTATCGGCACGAAAATAGAGACATAGACCAATGGAACAGAACAGAGAACCCAGACATAAAACCATACACATACAGCCAACTGATCTTTGACAAAGCAGAGAACCGTATATACTGGGGAAAAGAAGCCCTATTCAATAAATGATG